AAATTAGAAGGACAACAATTTAACAGAAAACAGATTGCTGCGTATTTTCATATTTGTTAATCCAATAATTTTCGTCACAAATAATGTTTCTTACATTTTGGAATACACACAAAAATATGCAGAATTTTACGAAGAATACTGTAGCATAGTTAAAGTTTCATTAAAGCTGATTACTTTTTTTGTGTTTTTTATCCTTTAGAGTTAGCTGATTGAGTAGCTCTTAATTGTTCGAATTTTTCAGGAACAGTAAAGCTTCATTTCAAAAATATAGTAGCCAGTTCTTTAGAGTCAGAATTTTTGACATTGACCGAGCTCAAAGTCAGCTTTCAAAACTACTATTAAATGTTTCAGAAGCAGAAAACACAAAATAACTAATGTTATCTGAGCCACCCATTAAAACACCTACACATCAAAAGCCTACAAAATCAATAGGAACGAATAACAAATTCGAAGGTCTATCTGTTTTGTCTGACTGTAATATAGAAAAATCTAAGCAACGGTGGCAAGTATTTATAAGAGAAGTTAACAGTAGAATAGCCCTTTTGAAAAAAACATATTTCAGGCAAACACAAGGGTAGAAATAATTTTATAATCGATCATATACTCTAGATTATTTTATCTAGGGAATTTTAGACATTTAAACAATAGAAAGTATAATATTAACTATTCAATGGCTCCTAAAACGCACTTCAAACCTATAGACAAACATTGTGAAATTCATTTTCGATTACAGACTTTACATTTTCAGTTTAAAATAATAAATTGGTCACTGCAATATGTGTTTTTTTAATCTGTTTAGTTTGACGAAAGTACTGATGCAGCTGGTAACCTTCCATTAAAGCAACATGCAAAGAATATCTTATAAAATAAATACGCACAATAAAAAGAAAACGATTGCCTATAATATGTGGGCATCAAAGCGGAGATCCTATAGGTACAGTCACTTATCGATCAACGAATTTGATTGTTGCCTCTCAAAGAAACATAACAAGAAACATCTTCCTATCTTACGTCTTTGTTTTTGGTCTCGTCGGTATTGTTTCTTTTATCCAAAGCAATTTCATCGCTCAATTATGAGAAACAATAATAGGTATGAATGAAGAATATTTTGCATACTAATTTCAAGATATATCAATTGATTTTCGTTTGCACGTATTGCAGGTAGAACAGACGCCAGTAGTTATGTTAACATTATAACTATTGTGAGTTTATCGAAACTTGTACCATCAACATATTGTGATAGACATGAGATAACGTGTTTAATGCACTTGAGCGATATCATATCTACGATTTCCATCAATAATTGAAATATTAGACTCAAATATTGAGATCAATTTTGCAGAATAAATTTGATCTGAAGAATGACATTTCTATCTATCAAGTTTTGTGACATCCATTTTTCTGAAGAAATATTCGATAGTAAGTTCATATTTACTGAGTAATCTTGTATGAATGATTGTGATTTCTAGTTAAATTTTGAGCGCTTAAACATTGAGATTCCTCTTTCAATTGTTTTCATTGCCTTTCCATAGGTCTTTGCTAGTGATTGAGTGATTTTCTACAAAATGAGCTAGAAAGTTATATCTTTGCATTGTCAGCTTTCAAATTATATGGAAAGAATTCAGTCTCTAAATTGCAGGCTCTTCGGATGAAGTAAAACATTTATAACTTTTTCATGTGACAGGCATAAAAGCCAGTGCATTGGCACAGAATATCACATGCCGGTTTGATCAACAAGACAAGATTATGTATTGGACTGGTGAACTCGTTTCTGGAACGATCGGATTTGTCAATAGTAGTCATCCGTCATTGAAGCTGACAAGTATCAACGTGACATTGATCGGCGAGATTGTTTACATAAGTCGAGTCCACAGCGGCAAATCAGCATCGGAAACTACCAAAAGAGTAGTATTTCTTGAGGAACCGTTCTTTGTATACTCGAACAGTGGTGAGGATAGCTTTGTCCTACCGCCTGGCAATTATACTTGGCCGTTTAGTATCCGTCTCAATGATTCATTACCGCCTTCGATCAAACAGATTCGTTCTGGTTTGCCATTTGTTCACTACTTTGTTCGTGTCAGAATAGTTGTGACCAAAATATATGCGAAGGAAATTCAAAGAGAACTTCCTCTAATTTTTCAACATTATTCATCGTCATCTGTGAATAAGACGCGAGTTGAAGGTCATGACGACAGTCGAAAAGATGTTCGTGTCCATGCCATTATTAACAACAATGTCGTCGTTGCTGGACGTTATTTCACACTTGATGTTAACGTGCGTAATCCTTATCACATGCTCATAAAGTCAATATGGATTACTCTTGTTCAAGTATGGGCAATAGACTATGACAGCGATAAAGACTTTGATCTGCTCAGTTTGAATTTGCGCAAAAGCGACGAGCCTCCACGGGAGAATTGTCACAAAAATTTGAAATACATGTGCCTCATATGACTGTTCCCACGTGCTCATATCAGTTTCCTTTCTGGCCTAATCGAAAGCTGCTGAGCGTACGCTACAAACTCAGTGTCTTTGCCGAGCTCCATAGTCTTTTAATGAATATAGGCATGAAACTCCTGTTGGTCATTACCAACACAAACCGGACAATAATTAACAGAACTCTATGGCTACATAACGATAGATCTCTTCTCTTAAATTAACTCTGTTCTTCTAAATGCTAGATGGAATCGAGGAATACTCACGGACGACTCACAGTATATATGTGCCACAAGAACACTGAACAAATTTTTCTAATATTATTTTTATCGTTTTGTGTTCAACCTTTTCTTTATTTTGAAAATTAAGAAATACATGTACTAATTCTTAATTAAATAAAGAATAGCATGATGAAAAAGGATAATTGGAAGAGTCTTGAAAAGAATTTCGTTGGCGCTTTAAACTACGAACCGATTGATCAGTCTACTTCACACAGATATGAAACAACATAAATGCCGTATAAATCGTTGTAGCCGCCTTTTGTTACCAAAACACGGTAATTAACTCCTTTCTAATGTTTTCTTCGCCTTTCTTTTTGTTTTTATGATGATGAACTTGTTTCAAAACGCTATTTCTGACAAAACTTCACTTATAGCCAGTCATCGTACTCATTTAAAAACAATGATGGCATGGGTCGTCAATGCTTTTTTTTTCTTTTTAAAACTATGTCATTGATGTCAAATTCATCATCGTTTGATGGACTTCTTTCAGAATAATTGAAAAGGAACACATACAATTGCTGTAGAAACAATGATGCTTTTGATTTCCATAAGAATCAATTGTTTAAATAATATTGCGAATTATTCTTTTCAAAAAGTTGATTTATGCAACAAAGTCCACCAACGCTTAATGCAACTCTTTTTTAAAATTCTCAGATTATTCTGGTTGTGAGCACTCGCAATATTTTTTGTACAGAATATTTTGCAATCATTTTTCAGAAATCGTTCATTGCGTATGTGTTCATGTGATCAACAAGTATATAGTTAATTTCAAGTACTTTGTTTTTTTTTTATTCTGTAAGATTTTAAAAATTCTTTACGATTGCAGTCCTTAACATTTGTGTCCATACCATTCAGAATAATTCTATCATGTAGACGACGAGCAATCACTTTCCACGACCGATGGAAAAACACGTCGAATGATGTAGTCTTTGACAGAGTTTTGAGTGGAATTTGAAGATGCTTCCTCTAGACACTCTTTTACTTTATATGCCATTCTCTTTTCAACCACTTCAGTACACAATTACCTCTCGCTTTGCCGATTTCGACTATCAACTATTCTATACAAATGACATATTTAAACAGAAAAAAAAAGATTTTATTTCGGTCAGTAAAATATACATGCAAGATATCGGCATCTTTACGAGAACTAAAATTAGTATATCAGTACCACATATTCCATAGTGAAAAGTGCACGAATTCATTCTTCTAATTCTTATTAGTTAAAACATTAACAAATGAGTTGACATTTCTGTATGCATGCTAACTGTGAAATGAATGTATGTTGAAATTATCAGAAGAATCAATACTTGCATCTTTAAGCGAGAATGTATCTTGTCTTTTAATAATCAATTGGTGTGTCAAACAAACTGATATCTTTGATAAGAAGCATCGATTTATCTGTAAACTCTAGGTTCTTAACCAATATTGAGCGCCTAGGTATTAATACAAATTTGAGTCAGATCGGAACATGCTTAGTCAAGATATCGAATGCATCCGTAGAATGATATCGAAAAACTAGTAATAGTAATAATAGTATATCTCTGCTCAGAAGGTCTGGAAAACCAAACCCTTGCAGGGTATTTAATAGCTCCTTGAGGTCTATCATCTGATCATATGGTCGATCAAATAGAGATTCAACAGTTGGAGACGTTCAGCCATAGGACTGGGTAGGAAGAAGACTTTTATTCACTACTGTATTTCATTTTTTCTAAATCAAAATACAGAAAATGGTGCATTTACATTTTGAACTGTCAGTCCTAGTCGAGTATGAGTATGAATGTTACGTGTACAGATGGAATGCGAATTCGAATGATATGGATAGAGCCGGTTACGGTTTGAATAAGAGCATGAATGACGCGAGTAAGTATAAAATACAAATAAAAATTTTTGCACGAACCGAATGTGTATATGAAAACTGTACCTGTGTAATACTCAAAATCAATCAACTAATTAAAAACACTTACAAAGTTCGAATGTTCATCATCCAGTACGATTACAATAAGTTCCAACTGTACACTCACACATTTGTCGAACACCCATTCGGCAGAGACATTGTAATATTATACAATCAGATTCATTGCAATGTTCAAAAAAAAGTAAATGAAGAATTCGTAAAAAAGAGAAAACTTTGAATTTAATGTTATGTCATAACTGGTGCAACTATTTCAGAATTATTATCAAAAATGAGAAGAGTATTTTCTTCTACTTCTAAATTTCATATAAATTAAGATATGCTAACAGATTATTCTCTTCTATGATCAATTGTCGTTAATAGATTAGTTTCAATTATATTGATTTATTTTTTATAAATATAAATGTTACTGTTTTTGAATATTCATCAATTTGTTCTTCACTTCCATTATCTAAACCATAGTTTTTCTCCAAATCAAGAAGTTTTCTTTTTTCATCCAAAAATATAAAACATTTTTCAAATATATTTTGATTAACATTTATCAAATTAATTGCTAGTTGATTAATAAATGTTTGTCGTATTGATCTATTATCAATTAATTTTAGTACATGTTCGGTATCACAACAAATATCCTTCCGCATTTATTTGATTGACAGACAAATGAAACATAGCATGGAATTGTTGCTTGTAAATCTACATGAATCAGTTTCAACTGATTATTTTAATAAATGAATTGAGTAACATGTGAATAATAAAAAAATAACAACACTATTGCAATCACTAATATTTTTTCTTTTACAATAGAACATTGTTATAAATATTGTGATCGTTTGTAATTAGGAGCTCCTTATTCCTTTTTTTTTTTATATATCAGTCATTAGATAGATATCGTGTCTGTTTTCATAGTTATTAAAATGTAATTAGAATTAACAATCAACTATTATTCCTGAAATGAAATAACTTAATCATAGAAATATTATTCATTCTATTAATAGCAACAGATGAATAATCATGAAAACTACTAAACTAAATGTTTACAAATATACATAAAAAAATTGAATATATCAAAATGGAATGTCAAATAAGATATCAAAAAAGAAAAAGAAATAATTAAACGCAAAAAAATTGTATTAATATAAAAAAAAGTAAAAAAATTGATGACATATTTAAACGTGATGTTCCATTACATCCATCGTGCGAACATGTATATGTGCATGAATAGTACATTTTTTCATCTTGAGGATATTTTACTTCAATACATTGATTATCCATATCACGAGAACTACAAAAACGTTTTGTAGCCACAGCACCTAGAAAAAAGAAACAAATGATATGAATATTTATGAAAGAAGATTTCTAACTGACGAAGAAAACTTCACAAGTATGATTCGTCAATCGAACTGGAGGAGTCCACAGGAGATTAAAATTATCTTGATATTACTTTTTTTTTAAAGTTATGAACAGCCTTTATTCATTTCAGTTTCTTTACTTCCATCTAATTCCTTTTAGGCCTTTTACTTCTTTCATTTTTTCATTAATGTCATTGCCGTAGTCATTCTCTATAAGATAAGTATTTTCTTTTGTAGAAAATATTTATTTCATTTTGGAAGTTATCGATGACAGGATGTTACTTTTTCCTAATCTGTTTGGAATTCGTTTATCTCAAAATTCAAAATATCCACTGTAATTATTGTCGTTTAAACAATGTCTATTACGTATCGGCTTGTAATAAAGTTGTAACGTTGATCGACGTAACTTGTTTCATAAAATGCAACAAAATTTTTTAAAGCTGAAAATGTTAGTGGAAAATTGAACAGATTAGAAAAAAGAGAAACAAGGAAAGTATTAGAAAAAGGAAATAAAGGAGTAAAGGCTGTTTGTAACTTTATAGGAAAGTTAGACAAGGATAACTTTCATTTCTTGTGGACCTATGTGTCCTTCGCAATTTATTACAAGTTTACTCAATTTTTATCTTTGGCAAAGTATATATGACAAAGTCTAATTTCGGAATCTCAACTCCAAAACTATATGTTATTCATGTGATATCAAATGTTGGCAACACTAGGTTGTCTTATTTTTCCTTGTGACAGATGTTTAGTTTTGAATATTCAATATTTTTAGAAGAACACATCCTTTTAGGCTAAAGTCTTCAGGATATTGGAATATCCCCAAAAAATCGAAATGACTTGGAGCGCATGGCATACACTGTTCTAGGCTGCTATTATCCTCGTCGGAGCCTACTTATCAACAAAATATCAGTATGATTGGCGGGTCACATCTGGCGACCATCCCTCGTTAGGTATGAGTAGTTTCCGAAGAAGACTAAAATAAAGAAGAGAAGCATATTCTAATGTACAATATTTTTTTGACGTATGAAAATACATAAAAGCCAATAAGATAATGCAAATCTGAATCGGTAAGAATGAGTCTTATTAAAATTCAATAAAACTCAACAAAATTTGCTTTTATAAATAAAACCTCATAGTGAAATATTTTTATCGATATCAACGTTTGTCCGCCGCAAACGGCGAAACAGCGCGACTTCATCAACTCAAAAAATATTTTGAGTCCACGAAGAGTACAACTAAAGTATAGTTGAGTACAGCTGAAGTATGGTGGAGTACAGTTGAAGTACAGTAGAGTACAGCTGAAGTATAAATCACATTTCACCAGAAGGCAAAGGCAAAAATCCGCAGTTTAGTGTACTTTGCTATACTCTAAGGTTTTCTCACGCAAAGACCACTTTGGGAAAGTAACAATTTCTTTTATAAATTTGACCAAAAGTCATCGGGGACAAGGAATCCGAATCTGCAATTGGTTTCTCGAAATTTCGTACTTGTTTGTTCACTAGAACAAATTCTTTTTCTAGAGATCATTTTTTCTTTAAAAAAATCACTTTTTACATAAAATGATGATTTACGACAAATAAAACTTTTTAACAACGAAATAGTGGATGGAGCAGAATAAATGGTAGTGCGAGTATTTTTCCAATATCTCAAGTTTTTGTTGGTATTTGAGAATAAATCTTTTTCATTGGAAGATTTAGCGTTGGATTCTCTGAAGCAAACTGTGTATTTCTATTAATTAAAGCATACTTCATTCAAATAGTATAATTCTTTTATTTTCGCTTATTCTGAAATTTTCATTGAACTTGAAATAGTTCAATTCACGTGCGTGTTGATTATTCCAACTGCAATGATTAGTATCAATCTATCGAAGAAAGCTGTCGCCATACCATGATTGAATAGCACGATGCTATATGATTTTGTAGCAAAGAGCCAAATCGAGTCGAATAGCCCAATGATTTGATTTGGTTCGATTGGACACGCCTCAGGTGAATCGCATTGAATTCGAATAGAGATTTTCTTCGTTTCGGTCTTTAGTTTGTATTATTATGTTTCGTTCTTCATTTATTATGAAAGACATAGTTGCTTTGACTTAGGGCAATGAAAATATATATGTTTGATTCACCAAAGATAAGAGTGCTGTAGCTCTTGGAAATAAGTAAAACTTTTTATAGTCTTATGATAGATCCCCAAAGCAATGTTCGAATATATTCAAGTTCAATGAAAATTTAAGAATAACGAATCAAAACAAGTAAGAAAAAGAATCATATCATTTGAACAATCAATAAGTTTGATAAACAAGTTTCACGTAAAATATAATAGTACGATAGAAAATTACACACGCTTGACTAGTTCTTTGTATTTGTGCGCACAAAACCTTTGAAGCATGCTTTGATTAATAGAAATACACAGTTCTTTTTTAGAGAATTCAAAGTTAAATCTTCTGATGAAAAAGATTTATTCTGAAATACCAACAAAAGGTTGAGATATTGGAAAAATATTGGTATTATCATTTATTCTGCTGCATCCACTATTTCGTTGTTGAAAAATCCCATTTTTCGTCAATCATCATTTTTATGTAACAAAGTGACTTTTAGAAAAAGAATTTTTTCCATCGAACAAATAAGCACGAAGTTTCGAGAAATCAATTGCAGATTTGGATTCCCGAACTCCGATGACCATTGGTCAAACTTTATACAGAATCGTTACTTTGCTTAAAAAAAAATTATTTTTAGTAAAAAAAGCCTTTGCTTCGACTTTAATTTTGTTTAGAGTTACGTTTAGAAGATGCTTGCTTCCAATTTACCTTAAAGTTTAAAGTAAAGTTATAGCACTTAAACTTTAACTTTGAAGTAAATTTGAAGTGTCATCCCTGCTAGTGAATATAAGTTACTAATGAAATACTGTTGAACTACACCTGAAGTACGTACTCATGAAGTCTTGTTTTTTTTCTCTCTTGATCTTCTGGTTCCTTAAGGTCTCTCTTCCTCTGTGACGCACACTTTTGTTTTTTTCTGTCACAGTTCTATAGTCTAAAGTAGTCTCTATCTATCGAGTACATTTTGGGGTTCAAACGTTGTCTTTAAACATTAAAAAATTTGAGAAAATATCAAACTTTGAAAACCTGTATATTGTTTCGTATTTTTCTCAAACCAACTGTTTCATGAAAGAAGGTGCAGTACAACTACCTCGTTTCTCCGACCTATTACGTTCAATCGAGCTCAAAACATTATTCACATATACTATACACTATCTATTTGAAATTGGTAGTTCTCTTTGTCAAAAAATATAGTTCTGCTTAATTTTAGTAGCTCTATTGAAAAAGAAATGTGAATTTTTTAGGTTACCTTCGATATTTTGGTTCTTTTTATTCAAAGACAAAAAAATGAAAAGAAATTCACCCTAAACAGTTTCTAGTGTCTGAAAGAAAATGTTCAGCTCAATCGTACATAAAATCTGAGAGAAATGGACGGTGAAAATTGGAACCATTTTTCGCCATTATGATTCCAATATTTCATAGAAGACAGAATCTGAGAACTTTGAGTCTATAATAACTTTGACTCTATTCGTCGAGATCTTTGTAATTACAAAAAAAAACGAATCAAACCTCCAAAAACAGCAATTGTCTTAATACAAAATCGAGCGTCTTGTACTCCATCAGGTCCACCACATTCGATAGGTAGTCTATCTTTACGTGTCCATGTTTCAGGACAATGTTCATCCTCTTTTGAATCACATACAAAACAATTTAATGAATTTGAAACTATAATAAAATATAAATATTCGTTTGAATATATTCATTGTAAAATTCTCTTACCATTAATAAATATTCCAAAAATTGAAATCAAACAAATTAAAAATTTCATGATTATATCTACAAAAGTTCATTGTAGTCAAGAATTATTATTATAAAAGACAAAAACAAAATACAAGTTTTATTTTTATTTCTTTGTACTTATATATGACATATACACAAAAAACAAAATGTTAGTTTAAAGAAATTGTGAACAAAATGCATCAATGGCATCAGCACATTGTTTAGCTTGATGACGATTTGCACCAGCATTATCTCGTATCCAAAGTTCAAAATATTCTTTGTTCTTTAATAATGTTAAATAGATACCCAATAATTCATAAGCCTTAAAAGTCACGAAAAAGATAATAATTAAAATAAAAAAAAAAAAGAACCAAATAAACTATACTTTTGTAATGCCAGATTCTTCTAAATTACTTGCTAATTTTGATCCAAGGCCAGGTACTTCACTAAGAGTTTTATCCTTCACTGGTTCACTTGTAAAATCACGAAATTTTTGTGATGTTGTCGATGACATGATTTAATAATCTAGAAATAAATGAAATAATAGATTTTATTCAACAGAATAAAAAAAAAAAGAACAACATCATTAAGTCTCTTTATTGAATATACAGAAAAGAAGAAAGAAAAAAAGATTTTTTAAATAAACGCTTCAGCCCATTCACATAATGCTTGTGCTGCTGTTTTAGCTTGATGACTATTTGCACCACATTGCGTTTGAATCCAGTCTTGAAATTGTTCAATATCTTTATTACATAGTAAATATTTACCAAATAAAGTATATGCCTAAAAGAAAAAAAATTCCTAAATTAAATAAAAACAAATCGATGCATAGAAAAAACAACAAACTTTTTCATAACCAGCTTCAGATAATTTTGTTCCAAGAACATCACCTATACCAGGAACATCTTGAATACTTTTGTCACCAAGTGGTTCAGCCATAAACTCACGAAATTTTTTTGTTGTTGAAGAACTCATCGTTAAGAAATGATTGATACCAATGAGTCAGTGTTTGTGAAAAATGATCTTTTTTTTTTGTCTGTGCTAGTGTCAACCACATATAACTGATGACTCATCAAGGACATTTTTTATTGGTCGAATCTATTTTGAATTTATTGGTTGATTGATGGATGTATGTATGTTTGTTTCTGACCTGAAGGAATATGATGAATCATTCAATACGAACAACATAAAACATTACTAATATAATGAAGCATGGAGACGAAAGACTATCATTATGACAGTTTCTTTTTAATGAACTAAACTTTCTTCTCTAGATACATATATGTATATAACAGAGTTTATATCACAAATTTTTTTTACATAAACTGATGTATTCAATCGAAATCTTTTTGATATATTACATGCATAGAAACCTACTTTAATTCCAGTAAATACCTGTGCTATAAGCTGATTTAAATAAGAATAAAAATAAATATTTATTTTTTCTTTTACTTCATTGCTATTTATTTCAGATTTGTCCATTATTGTTATAGTGCTGATATATATCTAGAATGACAACTGGGCCAACTTCAACTGCATTGGTTGATAATGTACATAGACTTTTATCAGTTTATGTACCAAACAATAGCCGTGACACTTATAAGAATTTGTTGGCATCGATGAATGTTAAATCACATGGAAAAATAACTTGTATGAAAGAGAAATTTACCTAAAAAACAACTAACTTTTATATTTGTTTTCTTCATTGTCAAGTTTCTGATTATAAGTCCCATCAAGCAGATTTTATTCGTATACCAAATGATGCACCAGTTATGCAAGTTCAAGAACTCTTGAATCGACACTGGTGTGGTGGAGTAGGTTATTTAAATTCAGATTTTTAAAAACAATATATGTATATATATTATAGCGTCCATCACTTGTGATATCGATAACTGGTGGTGCAAAAGAATATAATATGAAACCAAGATTATTAAGAGCATTTCGACGTGGCCTTCTTAAAGTTGCTCGAACAACTGGTATTGAAAAGTGAAATAGTTTTAGTAATAAAATATCTAAGATATCAAGCATTGCATTTAAAAATTATTCCTGCTGATTTTAAAAAATAATTAGCAAAATGGATATACGAAAGAACTGTTAGATTTTAGTTATATCATTTTTTATTGCATGAGTTATTAAACATGTTGATTGTGTGATGTGTTACAACAAGATGAATAACAGAGCATAACTTTCTTGCGATGAATTTCAATTGTTCTTAATAATTATAATATTTCTTATTTTTGATTGATGTAAGTGAAAAAATATTTTCTTCTATTATTCAATTTTAGGCGCATGGATTATTACTGGTGGTATGAATACAGGTATTATGAAACTTGTTGGTGAGATTGTTCAGATAAATCCGGATCGTTCTCGACCAATTCCTTTAATTGTAAGTTTTATACAATTCGACAATTTTAAATTATTGCTTATTACATTATTAATATAAAATTAGGGTATTGCTACTTGGGGTTGTGTATCCGGTCGTGAAGATCTGGAAGTTAATGGTGTAAGTGTACCTTATACTAAAACACGTAGTAATAATACAAGAGGTGAAGCACCACTTGAACCAAATCATACACAATTTATTTTTATTGATGATGAAAGTGTAAAAAAATATGGTCGAGAAATAGCTTTTCGTGCTAAACTTGAGCAAGCTATTTCTGGTGGATTTTTTTCATCAAAAACTACAACAAATTCTGTAAATCAATATGCAAGTTTATGTACCACCTCATCTTTACGACCAGAAAATTCAGGTTCATTTAGAAATTTAATCTGGTTTGTCAATAATAATTTCTCTTATTGATATAGCTCCGGTACCTGTTGTTCTTCTTGTTGTCGAAGGTGGTCCAAATACAGTTCGAACAGGTTAAAAAAGGATTATTTATTTAAAACTAAATAGAAATCGACATGTTTCATTTATTTTATAGTTAAGGAAGCTGTTGTTGAAAACAATATTCCAGCTGTTTTTCTCGAAGGAACAGGTCGTTGTTGTGATTTATTTGCTAAAGCATATCGTCTTTATAATGAATATCGTAAAAAAATTGAACCTGATGATGAAATAGCAGCAAAGTAAATATAAAAAGAGAACTATTCATATATTCACACTAACTTCTAAAAATTATTCGTTTTGAGATTTTACAAACTCATCGAATAACTCTATTTCATTGAAATAGTGAATCGGAAATAATTGCAAGAGCTTTTGTATGGGTGTGCTTGGCTTTCGGTTTTTCCTCTTTCGCAAATTCGTTCTGAAAAAATATGGCTGATAAAAATATTCATATTTCGGACATTACTTTTTCCAACAAAAGCTTATTTGATTATTTTCGAAGTCGGCAAAAATGATTCAGTAAAGTTTCACGTTTTTCCAAGGAGATTAGCGCAGCATCTGATCATCAAATTTTACTACAAGGTGTCGTAGTGCTCATATATCTTTGAAATTAGATCGGAGATTAAGGTAATATTTGTGACGGAGAGTTCTACTAATTGAATTCAATTTTTTTTCAATTAACATAAAGTTGTTTTTCGAAAAGAACCATTTTATGAAAATTTGGCTAAAGGTTTCCAAGATCGAGAAGTCTGAATAACTAATCGATTTTTCGAACTAATTAAGCTCGATTTTTCCAGTCAGCGAAAACCTATCTCTAATAAATAGCTAAATATTATGAAACACGAGTCAACAGCAGGAAATCGGCTTCCACTGATCAACAAAAAATCGAACTCAAAAATTGCGAAGAACCAATTAAAGATTCTGATTCTTCGACTCCGAAAATGTTTAGTCGAGTTCTATAAAAAACATAATTATTACTTTCGAAAAATAGTCTTGTGTTGATTGAAAAAAATGAATTAAAATAGTGTAATTCTCACTCATAGGTATCACTTTAATTTTCAATCTAATTCCAAATATGTACTTTTCCTCTTGCAGTTTTTCCGTTTCTTCTTCAACACATACTATTGATAGCATAGAGAAAGAATACGAATACTATGATGAATTTTTATTGACATGCAATGTTTTTATTTTAGTATTGATCCAAATATTCTAAAGAAACGTTATGATGACTTAAAATCAAAACTTCGTGAAGAACTTAAAGATGAACTTCGTGCAATTAGTGGTTCAACTGATACTCCAAATCCAACGGATAATAAGGCACGTTCTATTGATACAACCGATTATTTTCAATTAGTTTATGACTGTGTTCATACTCGAACAAATTTTTTAAATGTAATCAGTCTTAATTCACGCCATACTGGTGAACCTGATATCGATTTAGTTATATTACAAGCTCTATTAAACGGTTAGAAAATAAATATATTAAATTAATTTATTATTTATTTTAATAAAAAAAAAATTTGCTTATTTAGCTACTTCCGATAGTCATGGGGGTAAAAGTGTACAACGAAAGCGTGAACAACTTCAGTTAGCATTAGAATGGAATCGTGTGGATATAGCTAAACATGTTATTATGAAAAATGAGGCAGATTGGGTAGGAAGAAAAAAAAATGAGATAAATTTGTTTTGAAAATTTTTTTTCTATTATTATTTATATTAGAATATTGATTTAAACGATTTATTTTTATTGGCACTTAGACGTAATCAAGTAGAATTTGTTAAATTATTTCTTGATCATGATTTTTCATTAACTGTTTTATTTCGTGATATTAATAAACTTCTTACACTGTATGATCATGACGTAAACGAAGTAAATTGATTTTTACTTGAATATGAAATTTAATTACATATCTTTTTTACTTCTATTTTATTGAATGATGCTTGGTTGCAATCTTCTCATGATCCATTACGACTATTATATAAAGCAAAAATTCAACCATTAATAGGAGATTTTTTTGATGTTGATGCTGCATTGTCTCAAAAAGATTTGGCATTGAATTCTGAATCTAAAAATGAAAATGACGGTAAAATATGTGGCTGTTGTGGACCGAGACGTAATCATAGTCGTGCAGCAAGTACTTATGATGTTAATCAACCGTTAGATAGTAAGTTTTATACGTACTTATTAAAAAGTATAATTTCGAAGTTTTAATGAAAGACAATTTTTTTTAATATTTTTATTTTCTCAGTTTATTGAAATTTCTATCAACGAAGTTCTAAATGATAAAATTATGTAGGCAAAATATTCATTATGCATGTTGAAATTGTGTTTTTTTGCATGTGTCTGATTGCAGTCGAATGTTTCAATTTGCACGAGATACGAATGCATTGATGAATATTCAATGGAAATGAATATTAAATAAGAAACTATATGAATAATTCTATTTCGTAAAATATATTCAAAAGAAACTCTATAGAAATCCTTTTAGTAAAGACAACAAAGATCAAAGTTTCAATCCGGTCCAAAACTCTTCTCATTTATCTTCATAAAGAGCCACTTTTCTATGAGTACTTGATGCACTCCATAGTACTTAACCGTATATATTTTAATCAAACTTAATGCACAATAGGATGACATAGTATGTGACAAGACGGCTTTGCTATGGCATATGATTAGAAGTGGGAAACATGATGAATTCTCCTCCTAAATCACTTGATTGAGTTTCTGTTTGCATTGTGTTTACTTTCTTTTTCACCTGGATTCGTTTCTCTCTAACTTGAATCAAGCCACAGAGAAAATAAATAAAATGCAACGAGCAACTATATCAGGTCAATATTTTGAAGAGTAATATGTTAAAAAGACAGAAGATAAAACAGATGTCAACAGTATGGGTTAATGGTCAACAAATACTAAAATCCATTTAATAGATACTGCAGAATATCATGTACCAAATTTAGCGCAATATCTGGATAGGGTGTGGGTGGGGAGAAGAAGAACTCTCAAGCTTGCACAAATAACTATACCGATATCCACACCCTCTCTAATTGATAAAGAAAGTATTACAAATTTCAGTTGATAATATGTGTTTGTCTGAAAGACACTGATGAATGAATCGTTTCTCTTCAGCCTTGGAAGATTATCTCCCTTAATTTTTTTCTTCCTAAGCAGAATCAAACGAAAGCTATAGGTATGACGCTTAGCAGTATTCATTTTCATTAAAAAAATTAATTATTAGCAGCACGCGTTTAGATCAAACTACAGTTCTTGGATTTCATCCAGCAAGATAGCATCGAAAAATTAACAACATTTACGAAGAAACATTGATTAATTAAAATTGAATCAGAGAAACATTACTTAATTGTTCTATTGAGCACTTTACTTTTTACGTTAGCACTTATTGAATACAATTAATAATTATCTCAAAAGACTATATCACTTCTAAAAGGATTCAAGCAGACTATTCTACACTGTCTTCTTGCTGTGTACTATGTTTTATTGAAAATGCATGCTGCTCAGCACAACGGAGTGTACCAAGTTTTTATAGGATTTATGAGTTTTAGAGAAGTTAATGAGAAGAGTTTGATCTCAAGTCGGAAGTTCTGTATAATTTTTGGTATGACGAAGGGATATCTTCAAGTGTTAAATCGCTTTTCGACCGAGACGATGTTCATTTGATGAGTACTAAAGACTAATTAAAAAAGTCTAGAATGCTTCAATTTTCCGAACCTTTTATTCGTGAGATATCGAAATTTTACTGGGTTTTTCAACAAAAAAGCTGTGGTTCCCCTTAGATCACTTGAAAATTTCGACTTCATTCTTTACACGAACAAAGTTCTTAATGAAATTAATTGATTATGTAAGTTTTAACTTTTCTATTATTTCCTTTCTGAAAATGTAAATTTATGAACAAAATTTGCTTTTACACATTAGAGAATTTTACAAAATTCAATACTTCACGATAGATGATACTAGAAAAATTATCACCTCCTTCAATGAGCTAATCTCATTCAGAACTTTGTTCATGTTAAGTTTGAAGCCGAAATTCTCAAGTGATCTAAGGAAAACTACAGCTTTTTGTTGAAAAATCCAGTAAAATTTCGATTTCAAAAGAGTGAACACTCGAAAAACTAAAGTACTCTAGATGTTTTTGATTACTCACTAGTACTCCTTAAATGAGCATCGTCTCGATCAAGAAGCGATCTGCAGCTGAAGAGATTTCTTCGTCGGCTGAAAAGCGACCGGAATATTGCATCAAGTCGAAATTAACTTCACCAAAAATATGATTTGAATAAAACATTATATCCGAAATCTCAATATATACTTATATATATATATATATATTCATTGTGATCTTCATATATATTATTTATGTATTTTAATTATTCAAAAATGTTTATGTTCTATTTTAAGGATCACCACTTGGTTCCAGTAGTTATATGGATGTTGATAGAGAACTTTTTCTTTGGTCGGTAATAGAAAGGCAACAAGAATTACCATTACTATTTTGGTCTCGTGGCAAGAATAAAATTAGTAAATGAAATTATTCTTCTTAATTACATAGACAGACATATATATTTTTGTTAGGTGCTGCATTAATTGCCACATTAATATATAAACGTCATGCACGTACAGAGAATGATCATGGTTACAATCAATCGGCTGATGAATTTGAAAATTTAGCTGTACAAATACTTGAGAAATTTTATCAGGCAAATCCTAAAGCATGTTTAAAAGCAATTATACGACAAATTCCAGCTTATGGTAATGCAACTTGGTTAGAATTTGCTGTTGCAGCTGATGCTAAACAATTTATTGCACATCGAGCTGTACAAGATCTATTCAATGATATATGGTTTGTTATAAATAAACATTCAACAAAAAATAAAAAATTAATATTTCATATAGGTTTGGATATATTAATGAAGCAACAACTCATTTTACAATTGTTTTTTCTACATTTATGCTTTGGTTTAGTGGTTTTCTTGGTTATAATAAGTATTTAGTTACTGCAGATGATAAAACGGAACTTGATGTATGTATGATAAGTAACTTCAATGTGTTTACCATGCATCACTTTTTTTTTATTTCTAGGATTCAATTAATAAATCACATTGTTTTGAAAGACAAACATCAAAACAAAAGCGAATAGAAGATAGGTATTGAATAATAAGATTCTATTCGTTAATGTTCTTTTTTTTTTGAAACATTTGAAAACGAAAAAGATTATTGATTAATTATTATTTTATCACGGAGAGACTTGTATTCATTGTACATATACCATTATGTATGACCAAATTGATACTTGTTCGACAACGATAGAAGGAATTCTTATTGTTGTTCTTTCTTTATTTCACAGTTTTCGTCAACTTTTGATTCCAATACTTTTCATTGTTCAACATTATAGAATGATCCACTCTAGACGACGTGTGACAGCTTCATTCACAGGAACTAATATCCAATTCAAAATATAACCTGTTTCATTGTTTTTTTAATAACTTTTGATAGGGGAACATCATAGAGAGTTGCAATTTTCATAATTCAAGAGAGAAGAAGAGTTGGATCATATCGAAGAATATTGCCATTTGATTGATCAGTAATTGACCAATCAAGTGAGTTGCTAGTGAAGAGTTTGAAAACGATATTTTGAAGTAACCTTTCTTTCGATTTAGACTTATGATATGAGCAATCGGCACGAAGAATTCTTCTCTTTCGACGTAGACAAGACCGATATTGCTACTATTTCATCGATGAGTTATAAAACTTTTTCTAATATCCCTAACGTAAACCAATTAACCTGTGATCGATTATTTGCACAAACAGCTAAGTAGAGGTAATTCAATATGCTGAATCGAATAATGATGCTGGTTTTTGGAGATTCGAACTGATTTAACACTATTATCGCTGCCTAGTTGCTTTTTTAGGTGTTCAGAGCTCTCAGGAAGAGTCTTAAAATTCTGAACCAAAACAAGCTAGAAATGTCGCTCTTACGTACACCAAAAGAAGAGAACTGTTTCTATCGCTGATTCTATTAACGATTTGAATAAAGAAAAACATCATTTCAGAATACTTTTTTTAAAAACTCTCCACCAATAACTCACGTGATTATTCAATTGCTAACCAATCAAATTTCGATGTGCTTCGATGATCCCAGATCTTCTCTCTTGAATAGTGAAAACTGCAGATCTCTATGATGTTTCTATCAAAAGTTATTCAAAAAAAAACAGTAGAGCACATTATATTTTGAAGTAACTCTTAGATTCGGTTTGTAAATAGCAACTAATAAACTGATTTTCTTCATTCAAATCTCTCGATTCATAATGAACAAGAAGCTTTCATGTGTCTAGTCAACTGATGTACGAGTTTTGATATATTACATCTCGAACTGATTTGGTACATTTACATTCGTTCAAGTCAAAATTGACTAGACATACGAATTGTAGGATTCTTATACTATATGATTGCTGAAATATTTCACTATTAACTTTTATGTTCGTCTTTACTGGAGTTGATTATCGGTTTTTGTATTGCCATTTTTCTAGGGCCGCAGAAGCTACTCAAATGAGTTTGCTACCAAAAACGAAGTGTGTAGATCGTACTCATCTCAGGTTTGTTTATTTTCAAACGTAACGAAAGATGATTCGTAGATTAAAAATATAATACTAACACCTACTTATATTTGCGATGATTGCTTTTTTTTAAATTAACACTACTTAACTTATAATTTATTTATTTGTACACTAGAATTAGACAAAAAAAATTATAATAATTCGTTTTATTTTATTCTTCTAGGAAAAGAAGTAGAATTTCTCAATACTTTTTCAATATTATTACATTTGTACGTGCTCCATATGTTAAATATCTTTATAATTTAGTAAGTATTCAACACGATAAAAGATGTTGCTATTTTTTGTTCAAAAAGAATAATTAATTTTGAAAATTAATTCTTTTATAATTTGATTTAGTATTATGTTTTTTTTTTTGTTTTTTTCTCCTATTTTAGTACGCGCATTTGATATTTTTATTACTATTCTCCTATGTGATATTATGCGATTTTTTTCCACTCTATAATTTTGGAACGGATACATGTGCACCATCTAGTAATTCAGTAAATTATAAAGATTCTACTGCTGACAAGGATGATAATGGACCACTTACAAGTCATACGCTGACTGAAAGTTCATCTAATGCTACTAAATCAGTTCCCTATGGATTTCAAAAACGTAATCAGCCGTCTATAACTGAAATTATACTTGTCGTATGGGTTATTACATTAGTTTGCGAAGAAGTTCGACAGGTAATTTGATCGAATATATTTATAACTATATAGGATTTATTATTGTATGATATGATTTCTATGTACTATTCATATAATAGCTAATTTCAATAGAAGCACAATCAATACGAAATGTTTTTACAGCTTATTTTAAAAGTTTTTGGAATAAATTAGATGTTTTGGCTATATTTTTATTTTTTCTGGGTATTGCACTTCGATATATTCCCACATCAGAATGTTATTGTGCGGCACGTATTGTTTTATCATTTGATTTATCAATTTGGTTTATACGCACATTGGATATGTTTGCTGCTGTAAAACGACTTGGGCCTAAACTTGTTATGATTGGTGAAATGGTAAATAATCTAATTAATTTTATAAAACACGATCTAAAAGGAATGTTGAAGTATATAGGGTAGAAATTTGAACCTGCTCCCCCCCCCCCCCAGATCGTGACGGACACTAACTAGAGAT